AAAACACACAGCCAACGGAGGACTCGTTTTTCGATGCTATGGGAATCACGACCGTTTGTGTGTGCCTAACCATGAGCCTCTCCGCACACACTTCTTGGATTTGGCTCATGGCCGGAGTGGACACTTCGGCATGGCAAAGACGTAAGGAAACCTATTAAGACGGTTTGATTGGCCTGGTATGAAGGGATCTGCTGAAAAGTTTGTGGTTGAGTGTCAAATTTGTCAATGAATCAAACCATGTAGACAAAAGTCTATGGGGCTACTTACACCCCTTCTCCATCGACTTTGCCGACATGTGAAAGGTAAGTAAGAACGGCTATTCGCAAGTCATGGTGATTATTGACTGCTTCTCTAAATTCCTCAATCTGATTCCTTTGCTATCTCACGCCCTAACTGAATTGGTGATTGGTGAGTTCGAACAGAAGTACTTCAGTTCGGAACCCCAACAACTCTTGTGAGTGATCTGGACCCGCGCTTCATAAGTACCGAATGGAAGGACTTCACGTCCCAACTCCTGGCCTCAGACTATGCATGACATCTGGGAGACATCCCGAAGCCAATGGTTTGGCTGAGGAAATCAACCAAACTGTGTTCCAACTTCTTCGTGCTTTAATTATTCCGGATCAGGACACGTGGGATGAAGAGTTGTATTCCGTCAAAGGGTTGTACCACAAAACCATTCACTCTTTCACCGGCATGACGCCCAATAGGCTACATTACGATTGGCAGATTCGAAATTCGCTCTCCTACCTGTTCCCCGAACAGCCAGCTGGTTTAACACCCGGCAGGCCTGGCTTCAGGGCCAAGTACGATCGCTTGCTTAAAGTTGCAATTGCAGCAATGACCAAGCAACAACACCCTATGATCCATCATGTGAACAAGAAGCACCGACCTTCGGATATCGAAGTAGGAAGCTATGTCTAGGTCAAAATGTTTGAATTCTCTGAGGAAGAGGGAATCTCCTGCTAACTACTTTCGTTCTACTATGGTCCGTGGGAAGTTTCTTGATGTGATTGGCAAGGATGGGTTTGGCCACTCGTACACAATTGCTATGCCACCTCATCTGCGCACATACCCCGTCTTTCATGCATCAAAACTGTACATCCACCGTCATGCTAAATCCTTTGATTACCGTGAAGACATGATTCCTCGTGCAATTGATGGCAGTCATGAGATCGATAGAATCAAACAACACGTAGGGAAGGGACGTAACAGACAGTACCAAGTTCACTTCATGTATCACCCATTGGACAATGCATACTGGATCTCCAAAAAGGAACTGTTGCACAACACACCTCGCGTTGTTAAAGCCTACGAACGACAAATTGCCTCTAATGTTGTTCCCAAAATCTCTGCAAAGCTCATTGATGGCGGTCATAAGATCGATAGATCAAACAACACGTAGGGAAGGGACGTAACAGAAAGTACCAGGTTCACTTAATTTATCACCCATTGGACGATATATACTGGATCTCCAAAAAAGAACTGTTGTGCAGCGCACCTCACGTTGTTAAAGACTACGAATGAAAAATCGCCTCTAATGCTGTTCCCGACCAAACGCGGATTGAGACACACAGTTCATTTCTGAGTTTTGCTCACGAATTGAATGCCTTGCTGAGTTTCCCGCTTGCTACTAAATTTTGCATGTCTGTGTGTCTGCATGCTTGCTGGTCTGCATGTCTGTCAGAGTGTTGGTTGGTTTGAGTGTGTGTGACCCGCAAGGGCACTTGTTCATTTGTTAGGCCCTCATGGCCGGTACTTGTGCCCGTGACATTGAGGATTGTAACGGGGGAAAACACTCAAGTGGCAGGTAGGCCGGTACCGCACCCTGAAGAAGTAGATGTGCGGGTACTGGAGGCCGAGCAGAAGAAAACAAAAGTGGCATTTTGAGAGGCCCAGTAGTTGTAGGCTAGGTTTAGGTGGGTACCAGTCCAACCAGTCTAAGTCTAGGTCCTGTACAGGCAATATCAGAGTCTGTAATGAAGTTTCCCTCCGAAAGGGAGGAGGTACCGGTTGCTGGGAAGGCCGAGCGGCCTGGAAGTCACCGCCCAAGAGGCAAGCAGGCCGCTATATCTCCAGGTCGCGCGAAGAGCCCAGCCAAATTGTCGAAGTGCAAGTTTGGCGACACACTGGTTGAAGCGCTGGCTGGAGCAGCGCTAGCAAGAGCAGCACTGCTGGGGAAGGAGGAAGAATGGTAGGAGGAAGGCGGAGCACCAAAGGTACTTACTTGGCTATGTTGGCAGCAATCTTCATCACCTTGGTGGGCGCTGCAGCAGGAAGACCTCGGCTAGGGTAGAGTTACACCAAGAAGCTTCGAGGCAGAGCTAGGCATGGCGGCCTGAGCTAGAGCAGCCATAGTTGCTTTAGGTTGTCCTTTGGGCATCAGGTCAAGGCCCAGTAGTCCGCCATAGCCTCGGCCTATGAGAGTGAAGAGTGAGGGAGGCGGCCATGGCTATGGTGGACCTCAAGTGATACCTTCGGTAATAGAGGGATTCGGACATTGATTCTGGTTCAGCCATTCGACATTGTTCTACAAGAGAGGATTAAAGGAGGAGGAGAGTGTTTGGCGAAGAAGAAGAGCTTTATCATTTGTCTATGCCGGTGCCGGTGTACATCATCTTCTTCTTCTTTCTTTCTTCTTCTTCTTCTTACCCTCTCTCTCCTCTCAAGTTCATTCATTTCATTCTGCAATTGGAGAGGATATTGTAGTATCTGATGAATGTGTACTTCAAAATTGGCCAGGATCATAACACCTGTTTCCCCCTGGCCCAGCCAATCGGTTAGGATCCAAACGTAATTGGGACACTGGTTTACAGTTGTCAAATATGACAATTGAAGTATTTCCAAAAACGTAGTTTTCAACTACTCTTACTTGTGTAAGTTCCAGCCCCACAAAGGAGTGGATGTTTTCCTCATTTGGTTTCGAGGTGTTGATCAGCCAGCTCTGGAAAATCCTTTTCTCATCAGCCTGTGTTTGTACTAGCTTCCAAATGCGGCCCTCATTCGCCGCTTTGCTCACAAACCAAGTAACTGGGGGATCAGTTCCCTCAGGTTCGATCAATGACTTCCAACTAAGAGGAATTGCATTGATGATTAGAGTTCTGCGTGTTTCTATATACCACAACTTCCCCAATTTCTCTTTCAATTTCTCCTTTGAGATCCATTGCCCCGCCCAGTCGTTCCAAATGTCCTTAATTATGAGGACACCCTTCTCAATCCAAGAGCGGCCAAAACTGGAAGGGCCAGGGTCAGCCTTAAACCAATCGCCATCGTGAGATCGAATATGGGAGTTCTCAAAGATTGGCTGCGCAAGTATATCAGCCTTGGATACTGGCTAGACCCAAACATCCAGCTGTAGTTTCCTCCATGCCTGGATAATGGTAAACCCAAAGGGAGATTCTATCATCCTGCGTTGATAGGAATACAAAAAAAGGCATGTCCACACATCTTCTACTATAGTGAGGTGCCATTCCCGAGCCAAAATGCTTTCGGCCAGATAGACCCACTGTGGTACTGGGGATTCCAGGCAAGTGTGAATAATCCATCTCACTCGGGGTTGCCTCATTTTGCTTCTTAGGGTCAGGGATACCAAGTCCTCCATCCTCTCTTGGTAAGCAGAGCATTTCCCAGGCTACTTTTGACAGAAAGTTGACGTCCTCATCGAAGTATGGTTTCCAAATAAACCTTGCCGCCCATCGTTTGAATAGTGTCTACAAATGGGAGCCAAAGGCCCTCATTGTTCCCACAAACCATAATACGGCAAACAGAGCCCGATTCAAGACCAAGGCCTGTCCAACAAGGAAAGGTGGGGGGCTTTCCCCACGTTGTCAGCCGGTGCATCATGCATTTTTGTAACAGGATGTCATCCTGTGACTCAAGAGCATTCTCCAAGGAGATTCGTACCCCTAGGAAGCGTTCTGAATCCTGCTCCGAGATACGCTTCATTCCCCATTGTACTACTAGACCGTATTCCTCGCGTAGGAAACTGTACCGATTTGTGCCAATTGATGGCAGCTTCAGACATGTAAGCATACTCGTCTAAGCAGGATTTGAGGGCCAGAAGAGAATTAGGAGAGTTCTTTGACACATCGAACAGGTCATCGGCTAAGGCTTTGACCTTGTAGGATGTGGGACATGTATGCATACCCTGGATTTGAGGATGAGAGCGAATATTGTTTAGCACTACTTCAAACTGCAATGCAAATGATAACGGCACTAGTGGACAGCCCTGCCGCAATGAACGAGTCAGCACAAATTCTCTTGAAAGTTTTCCATTCACCATCACGCATGCTGTGGATAGAGAGTAGAGGGCTACAACCCAGCGGATGAAGTTCTCTCCGAAGTCTAACCGCTCTAGTGTAGTCACAACATAAGACCACTTGACTCGATCGTATGCTTTCTCCAAGTCATCCAGGAGGACTGCGATGTTGCTTTGCTCATTATGGGTACAAGTGGACCCGCACCAGCCACGCTGCGGCCGAGGAGAGGGACGAACAGGGGGGCAGGCCTGTTGTTGTCACACTGCTTGGGCTTTTTTTCTTTTTTTGTCATCCTATTCGCTATACACAAAAAAAACATGATTGTTCCCGACTGATCAGGAGGTTTGTGTGTGTGTGTGAGAGAGAGAGAGACTCTCTCTCTCTCTCTCTCTCTCTCTCTCTCTCTCTCTCTTTGACACACACACACAGCTGTAGAATGAGCAAAATCGGAATGAATCTTCAGCCAGAACATGGAAATATACTAGTCTCATGGTACATGGTTGATTTGATTGATTGAAAAACAAAAACAAAAAAGGAGAACCGGGCGTTCATTTTTTT